CACTTTGCTGGAGGCCCACTGGCACAGTTCTTGTTATCATCTCCTATTCTACATTCTCTCTCTACATAATAAATCACATCACAGTTTTTAAATACAATTAGCAGAGCCAGCTGTTTTCTGACACATTGTGTACAACTACAGGATCTTTACAGTAAACTAATGGAGATCAGATGTAAACATTTGATTATCATATAACCACAAAATACTCAATGTTAACATTGTAATGAGTTATTTAGACAATATGATTTCAGACAATATCAGGAGAGAATATTCAGCAGTGACACAAAATGAGAATATAACTTTATTATTTTTTCATGCCCAGCTGTCTTTCAGCAGTTTGAGCCAGTTTCACTAAACCTTCTTTCTGACATAGTCAAACAGCTTCGTCCAGCTAACTGCCTACTGGATAGTATCCCTGCACGCTTACTTAAAGATGTTTTTAACACTGTTGGGTCCAGTATTTTATCCTTGGTTAACTCATCTCTCAGCTCAGGGTGTGTTCCAGCCGCTTTTAAACATGCTGTTGTGCAACCACTCTTAAAAAAGAAAAATCTGGATCAGTTAGTTTTGTCTAACTTTAGACCTATTTCTAAATTACCTTTTTTATCCAAGGTCTTGGAGAAGGTGGTTTTTAATCAACTTCAATTATTTTTAGATGATTTTAGCATTCATGAAAAGTTTCAGTCTGGCTTTAAGCCCCGCCACAGCACTGAAACTGCCCTTCTAAGAGTCTACAACGACCTCCTCTTAGCTGTAGATTCAGGAAATTCTGCTGTTTTAGTGCTCTTAGATTTGACTGCTGCCTTTGACACTGTCAACCACTCTATCCTTTTATCCCGACTCAAGCAAAGTGTTGGCATTACAGGTATAGCCTTAAAATGGTTTGAATCCTACTTGACAGATAGGAGTTTTTCTGTCCACATTGGTAACTGCTCTTCATCTGTTGCCCCTCTGTCCTGTGGGGTCCCCCAAGGTTCCATTTTGGGACCAATGCTATTTTCTCTGTATATGCTGCCCTTAGGGTCCATTTTTAAAAAACACAACATCTCTTTCCATTGTTTTGCTGATGATGTGCAAATTTACTTGCCTGTAAAAAACAATAAGGAGGACACTATCAAGCCGCTGATAAACTGCTTGAGTGATCTCAAAGTATGGATGGATCAGAATTTTCTCTGTCTTAATGACAGTAAGACTGAGGTTGTTGTGTTTGGACGTGCTGAACATCTCAGTGCCTGTGTAGATACTCTCAGTATTTTAGGCTCCCAAATTCGTCCTTTTACCAGAAATCTGGGAGTGATTTTTGACAGTGCTTTTAAACTTGACAAACAGATTAGTTCTGTTGTCAAAACTAGCTTCTTCCAGCTGAGACTTCTGGCTAAAGTCAAGCCCTATCTGCTACGCAAAGACTTTGAGAGAGTCATACATGCATTCATTACGTCCCGCTTAGACTACTGCAATTCACTGTATGTTGGGTTGGATCAGTCATCCCTTCGTCGCTTGCAGTTAGTCCAGAACGCAGCAGCTCGACTTTTGACCAGGACAAAAAAACGCGACCACATTGCACCGGCTTTGGCCACCCTCCACTGGCTTCCTGTTTGTTTCAGGATTGAATTTAAAATTGTATTAATTGTTTTTAAAATTTTAAATGGGTTGTCGCCTTCCTACTTGTCGGAGCTCTTACATGTCCACACACCTATCAAAGCACTGAGGTCGTCTAATCAGATGCTCCTCGATGTGCCTGGATCCCGGTTAAAAACCAGAGGTGACCGAGCCTTTTCAGTGGCTGCTCCAAACCTCTGGAATAGTTTACCTATCCATGTAAGAACAGCTCGGACCATTGCAACGTTCAAGTCCCTCCTTAAGACCCACTATTATTCATTGGCTTTTAATTCTAGTTGAGCTTTGATATTTTGACTTTGTTCTTCTCTACTGTCAGATATTTTGTATTGTACATTGTGCTCTGTCTGTGTTTTATTGTATCGCTGCTTTTCGAGCTTGTTAAGCACTTTGGTCAACTGAGGTTGTTTTTAAATGTGCTATATAAATAAAATTGAACTTGAACTATAACTGAATAGGAAAAACAATAGGAAAGCCTATTATATACAGAATAATATGTACAGTATCATACGTTAATTTCATCAATGTACATTTAAATAATAAAACCAAAAATACATAAGGAAATGATGTGAGAAGTCATTTAAGAGTGGCAGGTCTCCAGAAGGGAAAAAAGGAGAGGGACGTCAGCAGAACAAAGTGGGTGATGCAGAAACAGTTAAGGATACGTGTTTGAAATGAAGGAGACCCGTTGGATTGAGGACTTTATACCATGGGCTCATTTCCGGCGACGCAGAGAGATGTGCTGCAGTCTCCTAGCATTCCCCCTGGCATCAATGGGCCGCATCTCATTGACCTTTGACCTGACCATCCGGGAGTAGCTGGGTCTCTTGGTGTAATGCATCAGAGGGCGGTCAGGCTGAGGCCCTGCTGGGACGGAGAAATGGAAGTTATATTCTCCTGCAGAGGCAGGGCACATGCATACTGGTAGCTCTCCAAATTTTGATGCATTTTTGTTAATATTCTTGTCATTACATTTCATTTTTCTATTCTGTACATTTTGTCTCTTTCGATCCAAATCTGCAACCGATCTGTTAAAACCAGTTTTTGTGTCGCAACATGATGTCCTTTGGGATTTTGATCAATGGGTTCCTGGTGGTTACTTGCAGAACCAGGGAAAACTCAGACATGGACTTCCGGACATTCAACAATGACGCGATAAGTACCACACGTGGCTTAAATATACTAGGGAGGTGCAGGTCATTGGACACAGGTGGAAACAATCAGACAATCACAGGGGATGACAGGACAAGGCAGGAAGTGAAGTTACCCACGGATACAAGAGGCAGAAAACTACAAAATAAAACAGGACGTGAACCCAAACCCTGAAAAAGCTTCAGGATCTCCTGGTCTGGTTTGGATTGTTCAGGGAATTGTAGCAGAATCTTAACTGCTGCCAGCCGCATTGTTGTGTGGATGTTTGTATAGAGACTGTGCATATCCATGGTGAAGGGACGTGCCGTCCAAAGAGATGTTACGGACATTCTGGAGGAAATCATAAGTGTCCTTGAGGTAGCCGGCATGGAGGTTATATGGGGGGGTTTAGGTAGGGATCCAGGCATTACGCCACACAATAGCTTTCATCGTTACAGTCAGAGACTACAGGCGGCCTGGAGGCATTCTGTGGGGAACGGGCCCTGATTTCGGTGGTTTGTGGATCTTAGGTAAAAAATAAAAGTGTCTTACGAGGGGTGTCCGTAGAAGACAGGTAAGAGCCTTGTTTGGTAGCTGAGGTTCCTTTACGCACAACGGAGTTGAGAATGGTGCCGACCCAAACATAAATAGGTCATTTGTTGCACTTCAAAATAATTGGTTCCCAGTCCGCCATATAAATATTTGCTTAGGCTGGGCAAACTTTTAGCCCATGGTAGTCCCGTGGATCTGGAGGTACAATTCCAAATAGGCTGTCACGACGGGGTAGCGGAAGCAGGACTCAATAGCAGGTTTAGATCACAAAAATACTGAAATCCAAATGCCTAGGTCAATCAAATGTCCCATTATCCATCTCAAATTAACGAGATGATTGATGTCAGGCTATCTCGGTTCGTCAAAGGCTGATCGGCGCACAAACAGTCTCGGTAGTTTGAACCAGATGTCAGTCATCAGGATAATCACGCGTGCACGTCCTACGTCAGAAGGATCGATAACCAAAACCAGGATATTTTAACAGTATAACGCCGAATAAACGCAAAGGAAGAGCGTCTTTTTACTATTAAAGTTTCTGATAATGATCTGGTGCTCGAATTCAAACCTTCAAACAGAACTTTCACTATTGACGACACATTGGGTGAACACCAACAGTGAGACAATTCCTTTATAGTCTGGTTATTGGCCCCTGATCCCAGGATGGTTCCTCGTTATTATTTGTTAAATACTATTAATTTGAATAATTTAATGTTTCTACCTGCTGATAAACAGGAACCTGCCAGATGCCAACAGGTGCCATTGCTTTTTAACTTTTGATTGATATACGAGGGTGAAACAATAAAAAATAAGATTGTTACACTTTTATTAACCAAGTTTGGGTGTAAATGTTGAATATTGAACTACAAATTAGTATTTTAGGCGTTTTTGATACCTTTTTACAGTATTTTTTGCTGAACTTTTTACTAATTAAGTGAATGAACAAATACATACTGTGAAAATTAGTCAAAGTATAGTCATACAAGTTTTAGTGTACTTGAGCACAGTACTACTAAGTACATGTAGTGCTTTTATACTGTGGGGATGCTTACCATTGTGGCACGGCTGCTTCTCAGTGTGCTCCTCAGGCTTTGCCTCTGTGTTCTTTGGGCCTGATGCTGAAGGTCTACCTGGATTATTTCCTCCTTCCTCCTCTTTGGGCGTTTGTACCTCCTGCTGCACCCTGCTCTCCAACACCACCTGACCCTCCACATCTGTCTTCATCTCCTGTCCTGAATTGTGTCTCTTTGGCTGTGTCTCCTCTGCTGTGTCCTTCTCTTGCCGGCCACTCTCCCCTGCCTCCTTCTGGACCTTTTCCTCCAGGTCTTCCAGAACACAAACACACATTAACAAAAGCAATATTCTCTATGATGTTGCTTCATTTGACATCACTGCAGCACTCAGAAGACGTTAGGATAAAGCTGCTGCTGCTCACAGGCTAATTCACATGATTATCAGAAGGAAGTAAAACCAAGACTGTACCTGTATTTGTTAGAAGGTAATTAGTCCATGGACATGCGTGTATTAAATAAGGACATGATAAAGTAAGCAGTGCTACAATGTCTTCTCACAGCTAATACGCTTAGCTGCTTCTCACATGTGTGTTTGATAATGTGGCCCCCCGGACTGGAAGGAGCCCTGTAGAGAGTGACAGATGATACCAGGTGGTAAGTATGGGCACCTTTGGTTGCCTGGTTCTTCCACGTCTCCCTGTTGTGGTGAATCTCCTTGTTCCATGTGACCTTGAAGCCCTTGAAGTCCACCGTGGTCAGAGAGCAGCTGCCCTCTGAGCCTGTACTCTTCACACTGGACCTCTTTCCATCACTGCCACTGACACTGTGGTCACTGTGGACAGTGTAGACACGTGCACACATCCTGTCAGACGTGTTGAGGTAGAAAGCTGGTGCCTCTTATTGGACAAAGCAACGCCCTCAACGTTACCCTTCAAAGTAAAAGCATCAACGTGTTGACATGTAAACGGATGTAAATATTGTGTCCTAGCGTGTTTAGATGATAATGCAGCCGTGCTGTTCATGCTTAAGGTTATAGTGTATTAAAGTACTAGTTTCCTTAAATAAACAGTGTGTAGCGTATCGGGGATCTGTTGATGGAACTTGAATAGATTCTTACTATATGCTGGTTTTTAATAGTGTGAAAACTATCTAGGGAGGGTGGTCATGTTCCTACGGTGGCCCAGAATGGACACATGGAAACAATTGATATTGGCCCTTTTGAAGGTCTGTTTTAGTTTCTATCTGTGACTTCCTGTCTTGGTAGTAGCGATCTGATGAGATGAGGACGTCAGCCGATGGTCCGTGAGGGGAAGACGGGAGCAGGTTGGGGACGGCTGATCTACACCACAGGATCATCTAAAATAAGTGTTTGTAATCTTCTGTTTGTCACCTCCAGCGTCTGAAGGCAGCCGTTCCAGATCGCGATGCCTCCTCAACAAGCGGAGTCACAGTTTTCTCCATCATTTCTGTCAGCACTGTAAATGTTGGTTCCACCATGAAGTCAATGAATCCTGCCGGATACGGAAGACACGCCCACTTAACAGATTCACTTCACCTTGTTGATTCTAATTTGTGTTGACATGTTTTTACTATTTGATAGTAACTAAATAATCAATTAGTTTTCATGCTACTTCCACACGCACAACAACTAGATACGAATGTTGGTCCAGCGTATAAACATCTGAACTTTTCTCCCAAATGAATCGATATACTGGGACAACGGTTTCCATAACAGAGGTACACTGGAGCAGACTGTTCATTAGATAGCAGATAAACAAACAAGCAGCTTTGTGGTGTAAATGATTCTTATTCTATTACCAATCTGAGACTGTGCCACCGTGGTGGGTTTGCGGTCACAGAGAGGAGAGAACGGTAGACCCAGCTCCGCTTCTTTATCCCCCTAAAAACGAGTAGACAAAGCAGCGTTACAAGGTGCTGCCATCAAGGCTCACCAACACAACATGTCACCATCTGTTTGCTCATTTCTCATTCCTGTGTCATTTGTACACAGAATGTGGATTTGCCTTTACATGTAGTACATGTTACTTCAGTAGCAGCGTTATTAGTTAGTATCTCTTCCTTTTGTACTTAAGATTGTCTCAGTGTGACCAATGATCTTATCTGGACCTACATGGCTGCTTCAGCACTTCAGACTACATGTACAATCATCCTGTTGTTGTAATGTTTCCTCGCTGAGTGTATTCGGACTGTCGACATGTTTTCAGCCACAGTTCATCTCCTCCCCTCCCTACACGCCTTCCTCCTAAGTCATTGTCTCACATGAACAACCACTGACTGCCTGCTACTGGAGGACAAGTCCACCAGAAGGTGCTGAGCGTCTTCTACTACCTCATTACTAATTCACATGTACAAAGACTAAACCTTATTCTAATGAATGTATACAATCAACTATTGTTAGCAGGCGGTGAGCTGCGAGCGGCAGCGCTGGTTTATCTGATGTTACACCCAGAGTACTCATCTGCTTATTTTACCTCTGAAAAAAAACTAGGTCCAAACTTTGTCTTCTTCCTATTCGTCACTAGTGCAGAGCCATGTGGAGTACTGCATAAATGAAAAGGCCGCTCATTGATTCAAAGTGGTCACCTGTCTAAAGAACTCCTCCAGAAGGGATGTGGTCCAGCGATGATGGAGGTCCCAGCGTTTGGCAGGGTGGCTGATGTCAGCAGTGTGCAGTAGCAGGGACAAGGCCTTTGCTTTGTCGGGCCTGCAAGTCCAGTCCAGTTAGTGGACGCGGCGCATGAAGGGTTGTAAAGCAGAAACAATCATGGTTTGATAGTTTCAGCATTGTGAAGGACTGGAGTGACTGGCAGCATGAGGCGGGACGGACCCAGACGTGAAACACTCACGCCTCATGTTGCTGCAGGTGGCTTTTCATCCCGTTGATCTGCTGGAAGTGGCAGGACATGTCTGTGGACAACACCATCTCCACCACCAGAGCCCGAAGCTCTCTGAAAGAGGGCAGGCAGTAAAACATTCATGCTCCCTACAGAAGGAATCTTAGATGAAGCTTGGGGAAAGTTTTATCAGAGGAGACTGAGATGCTTTCATCCTGTTGCTGTCACTTCTATATTTCTGCAGCAATGCAGTGCCAGATCGATGCAACTCTGCCCCAAACTACTCAACTTGTCCCTAAAATGAGGATCATTTGATTCTGCTTGACTGTAAAATAAGGTGACGTGTTTCTCCCTGGTATCATCAGCTGTAGCTCCCTCTAAGCACCAGTAGGAGGCAGTATTTTAGAAGCAATGACTTGCACTGTAATCTGGGGGTTGTATTGTACAGTGAATTATTATTTGAAGTCATTGAATGGAAACAGCGGTAAAAAAGGACGTCCCTTCAGCTGCAGCGCTCTTCTCTTACCTCCACTCGTCTTTGGAGAGATTAGACAGAATGTTCATGTCATCACTGTGCTGTAGAAGGCGATATGCAGCACTGACGTGGTAGTTCTCCAGAACAGCTCGGTCATTGTACAACATGGCGGTGTCTGACCTGCAAATGCGACACGGCTACTTCAGGAATGATCTCCCTCACCGTCATCGTGATAATGCCAACAATGTATGAGGTAAAGCTGCTATCATTCATAGTAGGCTTTTTATTAGGTCACCTGTTAGATATCTCTTCATGCTCCAGTGTTGTCCACTGTCCTCAGAGACTGCAGGGATTGAAATGCTACAAACGATGCTACGTGGGAATTACCTTGTCTGAATATGGAAGTTATTGGTGGTCCCTGTGTGCTCGTAGTCATGAATGGCAGCTGCAAGAATGATGGCAAAGATCTCCAACTCACTGAGCCAGTGCTGAAGGAGAGAGGCAGACAGACGAGGAGGAACGTGTCAATCGGGAGACGAAGATTAAAAACCGTCCTGCTTAACGTTGTGCGGTTCTCCTGCTGGAAGTGAACCAGCACAGAGTCTCTTTGCCAGTTGTCAGTGTGCCTGAACCACCTCGGTTGTTTTCCAGTAGCACCTCAACTCAAATGAAAGCAAATAGAGCTCTTCACCAAGAGGATCTGGTGCAAAGTGCCTCACTGAGTGCTGGAGGTCACTGTGCGAGGAGGCCAACAGGACAACATCACATCAGCACCAGCAGAGAGGAGATGGAGACCCCCGACCCGAGGTCCTCCACCCCCGGGTGCGCCTAGATATCCTGTCTATGAAAGTCACCAACTGGAGAGTCAAAAGCCTTCTCCGTCCACAAAGCACATGTAGACTCACGGCGAGTCCCATCCAGCCCCGGCCTTTCCCCCATGCAGCTTTCTGACCCCCGTAGTGACCCACAGGCACGTGGAGGCGGGGCTTGTACCTTTTAATAACACAATGTCTGCATTGTACATGTGGTGCTGCTATAGTCCCTAGACAGCCGCCATGAGGGATTGTTGATGCATTATTTCAACGCAAATTAAGTTGGGTGATGCTTGTGTTTGGGGGAGGATCCTCTGTTTATTGCGGCCTTGGTTACCTGAGAAGGAGTCTCATTTAGGTTTTAACCATGATTTAAATCTATGTTTTGTCTTTACTTTACTGATTCACTGAACTCTTTCTTCAGTTGTTCTTTCTTTGCTGTAACAACCTACATCAATAAAAGTCACCAAAGTCACTTTGGAGCCTTTCATCCATTTACAGTCAGAGACAACACTAACTTTGCTATTGCATCATTATTATCTACCTGTCAGTCATCATTCATCCCGTCCCGATTGGATTTTGAGGTAGGAAAGCTGTGATGAGTGACTTGTAAGATCCACTGAGGAAGTCTGCAGGCACTTTTGAAAAGCGTATTGCATTGTGCTTTTACCCAACCCTGAACGTACCATCATGCCGGTCTTGAGGAGCAGGTAATGAATGGTCTGTGTGACATCAGCCGCATGCGTCAGGTTGTGAAAGGGATTCTTGTGTTTGCTGTAGCCCACTTCCAACGAGTCCACGAAGGATATGAGGGCACAACCAGGGACCTTCAACAGAAGACAAGGAACAACCAGTTGCTTTGCAGAATTGTAGAAGCAATACAGAGAAGTTGTTCTGTTGAACCCAGTACGTCCCCATCAATACTTAGTTCTGCTGTCACTGACATTGTGCTCATTACATACACAGCGTCTTGTAAAAATGAACATACCTTGAAACGGTTGATCAAGTCATATCTGGTGAATAGCTCATAGAAGACACATTTCAGAGCGTGGTCCCCACTAGCATCGTTCAGTGCAAACACATCAAAAGACCACATGTCCACATGCTAGAAAAGACACACAGAAGCTTTATTAGCACGTGAATGTCCACATAACGGTTCAACTCATTTCTAGCATTCCTTTGTTAAGGTACCATCGATAAGAAAACATAAAAACGCCCGTTACAATTTAGTCGAGGATTTTATACCGATATAGAATTTAACAACTGGGAACTCGTTATTGAATTCTAGCTTCTTTTGTTATCCTGCACCTGCAAAATCTGTGGATTTGTGTGTTGAGCCTCCTGACTGTTGCTTCTCCATGAATAAAACATATTACAGACAAGCAGATATTTTCAAGGTCTTATAACAACATCAGCCGTTTTAGGATCATAGCAGCATGTTAGTTCAATATAAAACAGGAATCCCAATGACAATCAATAAGGCTGCACACGGTACGCAGAGCCTCACTGACCAAACCACTGAGAGGTTTGGTCAGTGGTTTGGTCAGGGCGGTTGATAGGCAGGAACGAGACACATCCAGAGGGAGGGAGGGAGGGAGGGAGGGAGGGAGGGAGGGAGGGAGGGAGGGGGAGGGCTGAAGACAAGAAACATCTACGACGATAGACAAAGTGACAAGTGACAGGAGACACACACAGCTTAAATACACTAGGGAGGTACAGGTGATTGGACACAGGTGGAAACAATCAGACAATCACAGACGATGACAGGACAAGGCAGCAGGAAGTGAAGTTCCCCAGGGAGACAAGAAGCAGAAAACTACAAAATAAGACAGGAAATAAAACCACACCGTGACAAGCGCTGGGTCTTTCTCTGTAGTAAAGCATATAGTAGGCCTTCTCTTATCAACAGCAGAGTGGTTGGGTCTGTCTGTAGACCTATAATGCGGTCTGCCCGAGTGGATCCACTTTGCAATGATTCCTAACGAGTAGCGACAAAAGCCAGGAGCAGTGGTCCCAGCGGTGGTTGAGGCCCGAATGAAGTATTTTGGTGGTATTGCTGTGTACATATATATATTACATTACATTACATTACATGTCATTTAGCTGACGCTTTTATCCAAAGCGACGTACAATAAGTGCATTCAACCATAGGGTACAAACTCAGGAGAACAAGAAACAAGAAAGTGCAATTTCCTCAAATAAGCCAATTTACAATTTGCTATAGATGAGTGACGTTACAAGTACAATTTAAGTGCTACAATTTGTTAGTCTTTAGTCGAGGTGGAGTCTGAAGAGGTGTGTCTTTAGTTTGCGGCGGAAGATGTGAAGGCTCTCTGCGGTCCTGATGTCTTCAGAGAGCTCGTTCCACCATTTCGGCGCAAGGACAGCGAAGAGTCGAGACCTAGTCGAGTGTTTTGCTCTCAGTGAGGGAGGGTATATATATATATACCCCCCAATGACGTATTGTCTGCTAAACCTGTCTGTAGGGGGCACTGCATGAAAAGTGGGATTTTCGGCAGTATGCGGCACAGTAAATTGCCGTGGAATTTCAGGTTTGCGTCTTTTCACGGCAATTTGCGGGCAACGCCGAAAACTGCCGTAAAGTGTCAGAAATTGACGTGGGCCTCCCTTGGCAGTTGTCCCCCCATGACCCCCCTCCTCCTATTTCTAGGGGAGGCTTTGACATGTAAATGAAAATGCTGTGAGCTATACAAACGCAAATCAGGGTCGCAGAGGGAGTTTTAGCCCAGGTGACATTTTTTTAAAAGGTAAGAAAATCTCTGGTACAAATAGATCAGGCTCAGTAGCCTAATTATACACTCTTACATTTGAGCTTGAATTGATTTATTTAATTCAAATATGCTAGATTACTGTGTACGCCATTAGCAATGGCAAATGTTATGTAAAAAAGATACACAAAATAACTTCTTTAAAAAATTAGTTTTAATCAAGGTAAAATGAGCATTCCATGCAAACAACATTTGAATCAGCATGAGGGGTCCGCAGAGATCACAGTCTCCTAGAGCTCAACTACAGTGCATAGTGGCAGGACTACAGTGACCTTTTCTTTGGTCTTACTTAAATGCACAGAGGATGTATTAACCACACATCTTCTAGCAATGCGCTCAACTGGCAGAAATGATGCTGGGTATGACGTGTCTGTTCCCTGCAAGCCCCAAACTTCTATTGGCTTTCCATAAAAATGTCTGTCCGGGTGGAGATGAAGCCAGGAAACTTGTGCAAGAACATGTTTAAATGCCGTACCCTTTGACACAACATTAACAAATATAAACTGCTTTATAATGGCTGGTCGTAGTTCTGCTAGAGGGTCAAGGACGGGTTCCTCAAAACTGTTAGTGTTTCCACACCACTTAGCATAAACACATGCTGACCTTTATGCTCTGCATCTATCGATTGAGTAAGTTACATTCATATATGTTACCCGTTTACATGTCATGGCAAAACATTTAACCTCAGTGACACAAGGGTACATGTGATGATACATTGGATTTGTGTGTTGAGATCAGTTTATATGTTACTGCTGAAGAAATATAGCAATATTCCACACAAATGGAACCACATTCAGCTGGTTTATGTCGTATTTATCAGATCGATCCCAGTTTGTGTTTGTAAACGGTGAAACCTTGATGGCCACCAATGTTGGTCACGGAGCCCCACAAGGTTTTGTACTTGGACCAATTTTATTTCCCTTGTATGTTCTTTCTTTAGGCAGAAAACACTGCATACACTTCCATTGTTATGCAGACGATACTCAATTGTATCTATCTTGTATGTAAGTGAGACGAGTCCAGCCAGCTTGTTAGACTTTAAGCGTTTTTGAGTGACAGCATAGACTGCAAGCAGGAATCCCAAACAAATCCAAGTGGCAGCAGTGACTGTTTGAGTGTGAGGACAGAGATTCTAGGCAGACCATTACACCATCAGAGATATAATCAGCGAGTCATGCTTTTAAATCAAAACAACATACTCTTGAATAAGGTCATGTGACCTTCCACCTCTAAACTTGTGGATTGATCTTAAAACTCATCATTAAATGTGTATAAAAACATATTTTAAACATGTATGAGTACATTTTATGTCATTAATTGATGAATAAGTGATTATAACCTTTCTACTTTAAACAAACACAAATGAATACCTTAAGAACAGTGATGACATCTTGGGGATAACTAAGACCGACGATGTTGGAGGTCCGTCTGTACATCCTGTCACAGAGATATAACACAGACACATTCCATAACACAGTGTCACAGTCTCCTCTGTGCAGACTTTACATTAGCAATAGGTTATACGTAAGCAGTGGGTCTTGTAACTTGGTCACATTTTCAGTCTTCTGAGTTTCTGGATGATTGTTTATTTCATGTCACAGTCCTATTTCTGTACAGCAAGAAGCTGGAGACCACATTGGCCAAGCTTTAAAATACACAGTGCACATATTCTTGCTTATTACTGGTCAGATAGCGATGCTTCCTTAGTGTGTTAGAGGAAGCCTAAAATGATGATGCTTTAAGTTCCTTTTGAGCATCGGTTTTGGACGGTTCAATGTTTAACGTTTAATTGGCTGATTGTAAACTCACAAGACTTCTAACCATCCACCACCACTTCCACTGACTCCAGTGGAATATCTCCCACTGGGGCTTTTAATATAATCTGAATATCTATGTTTGAGCATTATGTCCTTGACTCTGTGTCCTTACAGCGTCTCACAACTTGTCCCTTTTTTGCTGAACTGGATACTGTTTTCTTATTATTTTTGTGGACGTGCTTTAAAAGGTGGACGGCTGAGTTCAAGGGAAGAGTTCTCTGTATAAGACAAAAAAACTTAGAGAGGAACTTAAGATAATGGCTTTGGTGATGGAGAGTTTTTGGGCTGAGGCTGCAGCTATGACCCAGCACGTCCAACCCCCCCTCTACCGTTCCTGGTCCCACATCAAGTCCCTTCACGCTACCAGCAACAGGGAATCAATTAAGCATGTGGATTTTTTATTATCTTCTATTTGTGACTTAATAATTCATATAGTATCAATAAGGAACCTGACCGATAAGCAGTATGGACAGTAGCTGATAAAATCCTAACAAGTGTCCCTCGCCATTATGTCCAGAGTTAAGTCGTCCCACGTGATACCAATCGACCAATCGAGTCCTTGCATTCCAGGCAGGACGATGGGTCTCAATGGTGCATTTGTGTACATTGTTGGGATGCGGAGAACATGGGGAAAGCCGCTGCACGCCGCGCTGTTCCTGAAGTTTATTTGGCGCTTGAGAAACTTCTGGATGGTTCATTACATTCCCTGCCGATGTCTCAGTAAATGCAATCAAAGAGGGATTTTATGGAACTGCAGGTAATTGAGTCATTCCGTGTTTCATCACTTATTGAAAAGGCGTTCCTATCACTATTCATTACGGAGCTTATCATCTTTATAGAATATGATTAAGGTGGACTCATGATAAGAATAGAGGGAATACACACATACATGCTGATTCACACACACATATTCAAACTCCTGGTTCTATATGGTGCGTTCATGATCCCCTCCGGCTCGTCAGCGGAGAAAAAAGAGCCTCTTCCTTTGAGTTGATTTGATCGACTCTTCCCCCTTTTGAAGTAGGACGCGGACACACAATTATCCTGATGACTGACGTCTGGTTCCAGTTGATGACATTAAGCTGGATCAGCTAGCATGGTTTCAGTCAGCGGGTTAGTTTGAGCTAAGAGGACATTTGATTGGCTTAGTTGCACCACGTACAAGTAACGCGTATCCCTGCTGGCTTTGACCATCAACAGCAAACAATCACCCAGTGGAGTCCACCATGTTTGTACCCTATTCAGCTACGAGGATAATGCAGAGTTTTATTATTATTACCAATGAACCCTTTATGTTATCTGTGTTATATCATTCATGTTAAATGGGAAAACCTTGAAACAAACATCACACATCATGACTAAACAACTATGAAGGGCCTAATATTCCATATGACTGTTGCATCAAATACACCAAACAAGCCAAACCTCTCCACAAAGATGCCGGCCTGCACTGCATGAACGATGCTGCGGAAGCGTGGCTTGTCCTCGTTACGGCGCAGCATCACAGCCGTCTGCCGGGTGAAAGTGGAAGCCAGCCAGTCCCGAACCTCTGACGGCACCGAGTCCGACCGGATGTCACCCAGCTGGTCCTCTGGATCCACCAGCCGCCTGCAAGGAGACACGCATCAGACTAAAAGCCAGAAAAAAGATCACACCTTCTCGCCAAAGCTGCTGATTGATGATCTTCATCAACAAATTGAAGGATTGTCTTATTCACTACTCGATGAGCACACAATTCAATTATTGTGTAGAACGCGGCTTGTCAGATTTTCCCAACCGATTGTGTCACACGTCCACGTGGCTGATGTGACGCGTATTTACCAGCGTTCAGACACATTCACATTTAACTGAAACGTCCTGCCGTCATTTTGTTACAACTTCCACAAGACGAGAGTTGACTACTGGTTTACCTTCAGGTCGGCCATCTTTTGTGTAACTAACTAGTAACTGCCTGCTGGTCTTCTGTATTCATGTGCAGGGTCCCACTGTCCTATAAGGAATAAGGCTCGCAACATTGTGCAGCAAGAATTTAAACAATTCTGGGTTAGAAACTTGGAAACCGTATTGAGCCACGAGTTACTCGTTAAATTAAATATATTACTAAAACATACACACAGACTTAATGGAATCATTTAAATACTAATTAGTAGTAAAATAATATGAATGAATGATAATGTAATTGTAATTTATTCATCATCCATGGACGATCTTACTTACTAACATACAATATTTAATTGCCTTTCACCAATTTACGGGGTATTGCAGTTAATATAGTCTTAAGATATTTAGAGTGCTTTACTTTAGCTTCAAAATGCTTAAGACGACGTAGCTTGTGTGTAAATGATCCCGTTGTGATTTATAAATGAGTGAGGAAGCCACCGTGCTACTGGAATGGCCCAGTACCGTGTGCCATTAAAACGCTGGGGGAGCCGCGCTCTGTTGATGAGCCGACTGCCGACGGGAAGAAACCCTTTGTGTCCATAAAGTCCTGCGTGCATGAGGACGATGTGTTAACCTGAACCTCACGCCTGCTTTCTGCTTTTACACGTCAATGTTTCCCTTGGATTCTTTGGGAT